TAGCTTATAATTAACTTTTAATATTTAAGTTTTCTTTAATTTATTTTTTGTTTTAATGTTTCTTTATTTTATTATTTCATGCATGTATATCTTTATTTATATTTATTTCATTATAATATTACGATAAATAGTATAAAGTTATTTTATTATTATTATTACCATTATTTACGGTATGCTATTATTATGTTATTCGGTATTATTACTATTATATACGGTATACTATTATTAGGATAGTATATTACAGTATACCATTATTATTATTATTGTTATTATCATTATTATTATTATTGATTAATAATAATAATAATTGTATAATATTATGCAAGTTATAGAAAGTAAGTTATAGAAAATATATACATTGAAGATTGTTTCATGTAAGAAATGAACTAAAAAGTAAATAAAAAAAAATTTACAAACCTTGACAAAAATGCTGCGATGAACATTGCCCAGCTTTCAATGTTACCAGGATAAGTGAATAAAAGTTTTTGCATAGATCTAATACTTCTTGGTCCTATATTTTGCATGAAATAACTGAAAGACAAAGCACATGCAACATGTGCGTGATTTTCAGTAATAATATTCCTATTAAGGAACAGTACTTTTTGAGCACATCTGCTAAATAGCTGTAAATTAGTTTCCAATAATATTCTAAGTAATTGTGTCCAGTATTTCACATTACCTGCAAGTAAAAATAGAAACAGCATACATCTATGTGGAATAATACATTTAAAATATATTTTAATCTCTGGACATCAAACCAGAAAATATTTTGAAGCTGTGTTATTTTTTACTATAAAATGTCTTATGTAAAATATTATATATTTTATAATAAAATATATATTTTATTAAATTATTAATTTACAACTTAAAATGTTATATTATATTATGGAATATTATATGTATTATATTCTTATTAATATTCTTAATATTTATAATAATTAATATTCTTAATATTCCAAAAGAAATACTTGTTGGCCATCTCTTGTCGGTCATCTTACGATAAAATTGATACTAACCAAATCTAACTTCCAATAACTTTATATAGGGTAATTCAGAACATGTAAAATGCCCCATAAACATTAAATAATAGGATCAGGAGGATTCGGAATAATTTTACTTTACTGTATTAACTAATTTTACTTTACTTGTATTAATTAATTGTTTCGTTCATAATACTCATATGACACTAAGACTATACAGGGAGACAGTAACAAAAAATCCAGTCACAAAAAATTGTTGCAACGTATAAGTATTGAAAACAAAATCATATTGAGTATATATTGATATTATATATAATGAGTTATCATTTGCAATAATTTCTACATGTCTGAGTATACATACATAACATTGTATATACATACAATGAAAACAATTGCATGCTATCTTTTGAGAGAAGCATTTTGTACTCAATTATATCATTAACACATATCCTTACTTATAATATATTAAAATGTATAGTACTTACCAGGATATTTAAAAATTGCTTTAGAGAGAATAGTAATAGCCTTTTTAATATCATTTCCAATTAAATAAAAGTATGCAAATAGATTTAGGACGTGATGACCATATTCAGGGTGAGTTTCATATAACTTTAATTCGTTTAATACCAATGTAGTTAAATTAATATCTCCATGTAATATTCCTAAGGATGCAGCTGCCAAAAGACTTGTTATAACTGGACGTTGTAATTGCATGCATTGGAAAAGCAAAGTTTTTGCATCATCTACCCTTTGAAAAGTATATGCTATTGCCGCCATTGCACACAATGTATACGATTTCTCTATTTCAGTATCCGCAAAAGAATGCAGAGTTGTTTCATATGTGATGTATGCTTCTTCATATTGCGCACCTAAAAGTGAAATAAATTTTGGTCTGAAATATATTTTAAGCAAAGTGAATAAATATCTTTTAGTTCAAGTTTACTTTAAGACCCGAATAGCCAGTCATCTGGCGTTTGTTTGAGCCCAATGTGCGTACCCTTTGTAAAATTATATCTCTTTTTTTTGTTTAGTTAAGAGATACAAATTGATCCTCAAAAATCCACGTATAATTTTTGATTTTTCAAAAATTTAACGATAATAATCTATTTATTAATCTAATTATTATTGACTGAAAGCTTTAACACCATGTATTCTTATAATAAAATAAATTACAGAAAAAGGATGTTATTAAGAAAATTATAAGAAAATATAAAATCATGGTCATATGAACTAGTACGCCTTCGGTATGATTATGACGATTTATGTTAATTGACTTTAAAATATTTTATTTTATATCTTATTTAATATTCTCTATGAAGATTGGTAATAAAATTAGAAATTCCAAAATTAACTATGCTCTCCAATGATTTAACGATAATTAACAGCTAAAATCCAAAGTTTCCCACGAATTTATTAATTACTATAACACTTTTACACATTTTAAAATTAACGAAATATGTATAATTTCTGTATTTAGAAAAAAATATATAATATTAATATGAAATTATAATATAAAATATAATTGTAATATAATAATATAATATATAAATATAATTATAATATAATAATATATTAATATAAAATGTGATTACCTTTGAATAAAGCTAACGCTAAATGGCATTGAGAATTATAATTCACATTTGTAACCGTCCGGCATAATTTTATTGCTTCGTTATATTTTTTGAGTCGTACCAGTACACGTGCTAAATTTATAGAAACTAAATCTTTTTCTTTTTCAGTACTATTACATACGGCAACAGCAAATTGTTCAGCAGCTGATTTATAAAGTCTCTGTCTTTCTAACAATAATCCATATGCATTTCGAGCGTAACAATCATTTGGATGATTCTCTGAAATAAATGATATACACGTATGATATTGATACAATATACAAAAATTATATTAAAAATTAGTTAATAAAATTATAGTAAATTAATTATAATAAAATAAAAACATTTAAAAAAAGATATTTATGACTGATTGTAGATTTACATGATAGCATGATTTTGTATTATTAACATTTATAGAATATATGTGAGATATAGACTTACCTACATACCACGTCATAATATCAGTAGCAGAATATATGGCAGAAACACTTTCAGTTGAATGCATATGTAAAGTATCCTTTTTGGTACCAACATTTAAAATCGTGTCAAGTACCCAATGAGCATACCCTACAGCAGCTTGATTATGATATCCTAATTGTATTGCATGTCTAAATAAATCCATTGTTTCTTTTCGTTGCATCATTTCGGCAATTGAGGCTTGACCTATCCAACTATTTATATATGATGGATCTGCACGCTGTGCTCGAGAATAAGCTTCGTTTGCTTTATACAAATTTCCTGTGAATTTAATGATAATTAACATTCATACAATACTTTTTCAAATATTTTATTTTTTGTGTCTCGCCGCTATATAATAAATTCAGTAATGATTATAAAAAAATATGTTCTCTGACCACATAAAATGAAATCACGTAAATTGATATCGCGTATAGAAAGTTCATGTAAAAGAAAGAATTATTTATTATGTATAAAAAGTACCACGTAAATCAAGGACTACTTAACTAATTTATTATACTACTTAATTTATGTTATTATTGCATATTTTATAATTTTTAAATACCTATATATAAATACAATGTTCCTAAATTACACCATACTATAGCATTATTTAATTCCTTATCAATTGCCACGATGTAAGCATGTTGTGCTAGTGCATAATTCTTTATGTATGGCGACATACAAATAACACCCAAAAGATTCCAATGTATCCATGTTGAAGGACATAATTTAACAGCATATTTTGCAGCAGCTAGACATTTACTAGCAAGATTTTTATGATTCACTGATGGATCATGCTTTAGTTGCATTAAATAGCATAAAGCCAAATCATGCCATAATAGAGCTGATTTTGGAGAAAGAGATATTGCACAGCAGTAACACCTATAATTAAAGTATTTCTTATACGTTTTTATCTTATATGCTGTAACGAATTTTAATATTGCTTATGATCAAATCACTTTTGATATACTATATAATTGTTAAAATGGCTAATAATATTTTGTTAATGAAAAGACAATAATGTATAAAAAATTTATTACAATATTATATTATATATATTTACCTTACTGATAATGTGAATATATCAAATCGTTTAAGCAACATAATATTTTCAACATTTTCATATTTAATTAAAGTAGATGATATTTTTAAATGACTGTACTTTTCTGGCAATGTTGCAATTCTATAACACACATCACCTAGTAACTTCCAAAGACAAGACGTATCTTTACGTTTTTTAATGGCTATAGTTAAATTGTCCATTGCTTGTTGCAAATAGTCATTAGCACGACCCAATAGCTGTTTGGCAGTACAGTCTTTTGCTAGGGCTAAACAAGCTTCAGCCAATCCTTTTAAAGCAGGGATATAGCATGATTCATTTATTAATATGCATTCAAAATCTTTCTTTGCTTCCTTATACTGTCCAATAATCTATAAATAATAAAATGCAGAATCATAAACAATTACATTCTGTATTTTATTCTGTATAGTAATATAATGCTAATTTAAGAAAGATTAATAAATATACAATAGTATGTGTAAAAATTAAATGCATATTTCAATAAAATATAAAATAAAACATTTTGACTGAATTTTGACTGTATTTAACAGTTGTACTTTAACAGTACTTTTATTAAAATTTAAAACATTTTAATAAAAATTTGTAGATACATTGATGAATTACATATTGAATTTTAATATATTGTGAGTATAAATTTTAAGTTTCAATTTTTAAACAAATTAGAATTTATTATTAGTTAATTCTATAAGTATATAAGTTATTTTATAAATATAATAAATGCAATATTAATTCTATCCTCTGGATTCTCGGTAATTTACACATTTTATTAATATTCACACCATTTTCAAATATTAAAAATTGTTAACATTTAGTCAAATCAGAAAATGTTAAAAATTTTGTAACATTTAGTCAAATCAGAAAAATAATACCAACCAATTTTATATTTGCTAATTGTATCATTGGATATAATGATTTTGGACATAATTCTAATACTCGTTGGTAAGATTTTAATGCTGATGTGTATGCACCTCGTATAAAATATGCATCCGCTAATGATTCCCAACAGTGGCTGTAAAAAAAGATAAAACTTTACAAAATTTCGTAATAAAAATATTCGATATTATAATAAAATGTTCAGCATTCAATTGAATAATAAAACAATGAACAATAGAGAAATTTAATGGAACTCCAAAGTTTAATTAATTCCATATGAACTCACTAATTTACAACATTATTTCTAACATTTTACAATAATAAATAACCTCATATGTAGATGAATATTACGAAACATGTCGACTCTGTGATATAAAGGAAATAATGTATTTTTTTTACTTTACTTATTATCTTACTTTTAGTTTTATCTTTTTAATACTCAAGAGCCGACATATCGGCTCCGCGATATTTGTCTTATTTTTTGGATATTTCCGTTTTTCTTATTAATGTCTTATTTTCATAAAATTTCTATTAAGAAACAGTATATATATTTCATCACATTTTATGCATTTTTATATATTTTACATATACATTGCTCACAAAAATTAGGGGACATTTCAAATTGAATATGAAGCGATAAAAAAAAGAAGCATTTGATTTTTTTATTAAACATCAGAAAAGCAAACGGCAAGTCAAAGAAAGTTTATTTTTTTTTTTATAAAAATAAATCAAATGCTTATTTTTTTTAACACTTCATATTCATTTTGAAATATCCCTTAATTTTTGTGAGCAGTGTATTTCTACGACAATGTTTTGCAGTTCTAAATGATATATAAAAAAATTGCAAGATAGTAAGAGCTACTAATTAATGTCATTTCTCTATGCATTCACATTATAAATATCATATATAAATAGTGAAAATAAAAAAAAGATTATTTCTCATGTATAAACTCTAACAGTCGTAAACTCCGATTATATATAATAACCTGTCACTAGAATCAGCTCTAATAACATGTTGAATAGCTTTAATAGCTTGCTCTGCATTTCCTTGGTCAAGATATTGCAATCCGAGTTGTAGCCATGCCCATTTAGGACCGCTACCTTGTACCGTTAGCATTTGTAACAATTTTATATTTGCATCCTATAAATAATACCTTATTAACATAATTAATTGGAAAGTAGAGTATCATTGTGCAAATAACAAATACACTTCATACAAAAATAAAAATCATCTTATTACTTGATTTTTAAGAAGCCTATATGCTGTACTTAAACCAATGCCAGCCTCTTCGGAATTTGGATTGATTTGTAATGCAGTTTGATAACATTTCCTAGAACGTTCCATGTCATTACCATGTTCACGATAATAATGTCCCAAGTAAATTAGACATTTCCAATTAAAACGATCGGCTTTTATTCCGTTTAAAAAAGCCATTAAGCTGTAATTATATTCTGCCATTTCCCAATAGATTATACCGAGAAGTAACCACGCTTCAGAAGTCTGAGCCTCTAACACTGAATCAAGTATATTCACAGCTTCCTCGTACTGATTATTTTGCTTTAAATACAATGCCCGAAGAATACTAGCATGCGTTTTAGTTTCGAGGTTTGATTCCAAATTGTCCAAGAGAATATATACATCTGACTGGTTTAACAATATATTCAGACGTGCACGAATCAGATCCAATTGCGTTGAAGGACGTATCTTTAATTAAATTAAATTAAATAAGTTAAGTAGATACATAAATAAATAGCTACATACATAAAACAAGCAATAGATGAAAGTTTAAGAACTTTATTGTACAAGTTATCCTAATTTTTCCAGCTAAACATTGTCATGTATTCTCATGATGCAGAAGACACGCATACACATACTTTATATTATTTGCCCTTTTATCTATTATACAAGCAGAAATTTTAGAATTTCAATGTTTGAGATGATTGTCTCGTTTAAAGTTAAATTAACTTTATATAATTAAGGTACCGAATGATGGGTCATTTTGATTCGTTTTGGTCTGTAGCTCGCTTTCTGCTACAATTTTTATTGTTATTATTTTATCATATTTTTATTGCTAAATAAAGCATTAAAAAAATAATAAAATAATGCTGAAAAATAATAATAACAAAATCTTCCGTTTCCTCATTCGGTCCCAACGATGTACCGTTATCAATATTCTATCCCCAAGAGTTAAAAAATGTTAGACATATGAATGTATGTTATTGTTAAAGAATTAAAACCAAAATACGAAATACGAAGAGAGCAGTGACGAGATCGATTAATTATAAATACATTTAAGATAAAAAATAATCCTTTTAAAGAGATTACGAAATTTCTCCAGATTTAAAGAAGGATTTTAAGCAAGATTTTTTGTTGTTATCGGTGATTTTTTAAATCAAAAAAGTTATCTAAAAATTCTTACATTTTCACACATCCATAAAGCAGTTTCCCATTTATTTTTATCATTAGTTCTACTCATTGCTTCAACTAACGTTAGTTCCATTTTATATAATAATTTATCTTTTATTTTACATTCATTCATATCTAATACTTGTTTGGCAGCAATTTCTGCATCTTCCCAGCAATGGAGTCTTCTACTTATTTCACTTAATGCCATCCAACCATGTACCGAGAACGGTTTTAATGTAAGTATATCTTTTAATATTTCTCGAGCTGTAGTCAAATTATTTGATTTTATTAAATGTAATGCTTTAGCAATTTTAGTCGTTTCAGACTCTTCATTCAATTTTAAAAGACATTCATAAAATTTTGTTATATCAATGTCAATAAAATCTTTACTCAAGATATTCTGCTCACAGTAAACAAGACATATATATTCTGTAAATGAAATAAATAAAAACTGCATTATTAATAATGAACAGGGATCGAATGAAACTGTTAAAATGTTCAACAATTTAAATAATGCTTTTTTCAATATCTTAAATAATGTTAATTCAAAACATATTCTTAATTTTCATATTTCATCCCAAAATATTTGCTCAGAATTATATAATCTTCAGGGATTGATTTCTAAAAATCAAATACAAATTTAAAATTGTACTATTACAACAAACACGACAATTATTCTAACAAAGATGATTGTATCAGTAACATTCATGTGGGCAAAATTTAATATGTAGCAAAAATTTTTTGTTAATATCTCGAAAAAAAAGTAATAAATATTCATAACTAAAATTTTATATTTAAAGACCATTGTTGTCTTTGTTATCTTTTAATTATTCTTTTTCTTAATAAAATCTCATAAAACTTAATATAATATTATAAAATTGCTGTATTATTTTTATAAATTAGATGTTAAAATAATTAATATAATTTTTAATATTTACCTAGGGGTAACATGTCTTCTGGAAACTGCTGATGCATGTTCACAGCTTCATTTATTAAACTATTTAATTCATCTTTGTCGTATAATATTTTTAAATATTTCTTATAAAAATTTCGTTGTTTTATTGTATCAAGATCATTGATTACAGATTTAAAGATAGATTTTAATAAATTTTGATATTTATCAAGATCATAAAAATGATCTAATAATAGACATCCAAGCGTTTTATCAATCATTTTAACTTTGTTATCATCCAAGTTTTTTCGTAATTCACTTAAATGTTCAATACATTGATTTATGGTTTCAATATCTTTCAATTGTGAGGAAAATTCTGAGATTTTATTTGAAATATATATAAATTTAGAATCACTGAAAATAAGTTATTGAATAAGTTTTAACAAACATGTAACATTTATGATACATATGATAATTTAGTACCTTTCTATCTGTAAAAGTTTACAGTAAGCTAATAATAGTTGGTTATAACAATCATTATTGTCCAAGTTTTTTTCATAATAAGCTACTAAACCATGCCAAGCTAATGGATTGTCTGCTTGAATTTGTATACCTCTTTGAAGAACTAATGGAACTTGTGATTTATATTCATCAATTTCTTTCATCGCAGCCGCCAATAACATAAGTGCAGCATAATTATTTTGATCTTTTTTTAATATTTTTTTACATTTTTTAATTACATCTGTATAATTGTTTTCTTTAAATGTCTCTCGAGCTTCTTTAAGAGCTAGTTTTATTTCATTTGACATTTTTGTAACAAAAAAAGATCCTTTGAAAGAAAATTAAAAATAAAATACGTCAAAAATTTAAATGAAATATATTAATATCATAATATTTAATTGACTATTTTCCAAGAATATGGAAGGTTATGTTTATGCACACACAACCAAGTACAATATTACATTTTCTAATAAATGTCATTCAAAAATTCTGTATCTTTAAATCACAAATTTTTATTTTTATGTTTTTAAAATTTATTTTACATATATTTTCACACTTTATAACTTATATAATATACAAATATATACATAAACTTCGCATCACCTCATTCACTTGTAATCATAACAATTTTTACTCTATGGAATAAGATTTTAAAGATACTACCTTTAAGTAATAAGCCGCATTTTTAACTTAAAAGATCGGCATAGATTTTTTATGATTCGATATAAATTTTTAAATTCTGTAAGTATAGTATAATACAGTGATGAGTGATGAACAATTTGTTTTAGCTTATAATTGGTCAAAATTGAAAACTTAATATTCTATATATGTCTATATATGTCTATATATGTGCCGCAACAAATGTAATATGTATTAAATACTTGAATATATTAATAAAAAAAATTTTAATTTATATAAGGTAGAATTTATTTTTGACATAGTTATAATAATGAAATTTTTCTCTTATTTACATTTTATTAATAATACTTTTAATATATACATGTATTTACAAATATGTCAAAAAGAAAAAAAAAATAAAAGAAATAGTATGGCTATTAAAAATAATTGCCTTTAACTGAAATTTTAGCTAAAGATAAGTAATTGAAAGACTACAGCACAGACGAGGTATTGTGACCACGGCTTGTTCGTTATTATAGTAGTATATTATTCGTTATCGTTATTAATATATATATACACTAAATTCGTCATCCTAATTTTCATCAATCTCTGTTTTAAATCGATGAAGTACCACCACGTTCAATTCAATGAATAATTCTCGAAACAAACTGGCAACACTTGTCCATACTTTTTGATTTTCGCGGTGCAAAACTTGCCGAATCGGTATGACAGGATGTGACACGAAAATGGTAACGGGACATCGTGGCCGAAAAAATACATTGGATACTTGGTTTATTCATATATCTCGTCTGTGCCATTATCAATATTTTCGTGTATCACAAATCAGTTTGCTAGGTACCCTCAAGGATACGCGTAACATAGGAAATCGTTGATATAAAGTATAGTATAACCTAACCTACACCTAACCAAATAATAATTTTATATTTTCAAGATAATATAAATAATATTACTTTGTTTTATATACAAGTTCATTATATATTTTATATACAAGTTCATTACATACATTCGTCATAGTCATTGAAATGCTTAATAATTAAATTGAAAAGGAATAATATACATGTATTAAGTAATAATAATATAAAATATAATCTTACTTTCATAGTACTGTCACTATGATAAAAGTTTGTTCAAATGATGTGTAACAATCATATTGTTGTCTTTTTATATTAACAATATTGTTAACTTACAAGTACGAAAGTTTTCTGTTTTAAATATATTATATTTAAAATTATTTATTAATATTACAAATATGTCAAACCCACGTGGATGTCTCAAAGAATTCTATTCCTTCAGCTTTTAATCGATTAAGTATAGGCCGATAAATATCAGGAGTAAATGGAAGAACCACACCTCGTTGTTGAATTTCATCTATTAACAAAAAAAAATTATAATAATCTAACTTGAAACGATTAAATTACCTTATGAAATTTATTTAAAAGAGTAAAATGAAAATATATGTGGATATAGCTTTAGAAATTTAACAATTACAATATTGCGTTGGTATCAGTGTGAACATCTTTCCGAGTTTTTATAAATCCCCAAAATAATTATTTCACTCAATTCAAAGCTAATAAAAATAAATATTTGCAAAAAGAAGTCCAACTCTAATTTTGATGATATGTTGTCAAGGTCATCACCTTAGTATTGTGAAAAGTTGTGTGTGGACTCGTCGTTTATTACGAAATTATTATCAAAAAAAGTTTACTCAAAAATATATAATAATCTATAGTACTTGTTGGAAAGTATGCGAATAAATGGACAAAAATATACCAACATCGTGACAGAAAATCGTAAGTGCTTAGATGGATGAGATATTCGTGAAAGTATTCCTACATATGGTTGGGCAGAATATAAATGGGAATACTATTTGTTCGAATTGGCTATTCGCAAGTCAGCTTGCTGATCGTAGAAATATTCGCATTTTCGGCGAACATAATTCGAGCGAAACCAGCAATGTACCCGATATTAAATGTTTTGTCAGCATTTACAGTCTTTCTACAACTACAAGTTCATCAGAACACGCATACACCATCGCTTATCACATTTATCCGATGAACAATTTGGACATATCCGTCACGAAACTGTAAACTTATGATGGGAGTAATGGCATTTTCACAAAAATGATTGAATATTTTTGCAAGAGCCATACCATCAAGAATCATTTTAACTGCAATTGCCGTCGGATACCCAACAGTGCGCGCCATGGCAGAATAACCTCGTGGTTCACCATACAATACTAAATTAATTCCTCTGTTTTCTCTTCTGTTATCTGGCCAAAGTATTCCAATATCGTGCCTTAGAATTACAAGATCTCGTTCATTTTTATCATAGCACAGCTTTTTCGATAAATAATGTGTCAGAGTATCAAGAGGAGTATTTAATTTCAATACTAAATCTTCTTCAAGAAGTCCCAAATCCTCAATTGTTTTTACGCTCTCTTCCGAATTTAGCATTTCTGCCAACTTTCTTTTCAAATTTTCATAAAAGATATTATCGTTCGCCAAGCCAAGTAAATTGCAAATTAATACTCTCTGAAATAAAAAAGGTAAATTTAGATAATCTACTTAAGATTGATCTGACATCAAAATGGGTACAAGAAAAGAAAATTGCAGTATTTATTGAATTACTACCGCGGAAGATAATACGTATACATACTGATATGTTTCAAAGTATTCTTGCGGAAAAAGTAGGTGACTTAATCATTTTTTTTTTTATGTTTACTTTAACCATAACTTCATGATCACCTTTTGTTCTGAATGAAATTCGAATATGTAGTTTTAGTAATTAAAATATTGAAAATATTAATTTTTAATGCTAAATTTGATACTTTATTATTTATTTGAAGCAGGACACGTTTCATCAATTTGTAAATATAGAATATTCGAAAAATGAACTGTTAAGATATGAAAAATTAAGTACATTATGTATTATGTAATATATATTATCAAGGCAGCAAGTGACAGATTTATAGATATAAAACATCAGAGATGTTAACAAGAAATGGCAGAAAGTTAAAGAGATATTTCTACAAGACAAAATAAGACCAACAAGTCAAATATATGTACATGGGAATTTAAACAATCTAAACAAAATTATTTTGATAATGAAAGCAATTACTTTTTTTAGTAATTTATTTCTTAATATATAATTAATTAATTTTTATAGATATTTAATATAGGTATTTTATTTTTTTATAACATTTAAAATAATTTTTGTTTCCATTAAAATTTAAAATTTCAGTCGCTATCATTAAAATTTCTCACTACCCAATTTCACCAATCAAAATCAGATTTATTAAAATCAACATTAACATTAATTAGTAATTAAGAAATAATATACAATGAACTGTTATAAAACTTATTCCTAGAATTATAGATACAATTATATATCTTTTTAATATATTTGATATATTGATGCATATTCCTCAGATCAAATTTAACATTCTCATAACGAAATTTTCAGTTTATCGATTGATTAATTATTACAATCACATCATAAGTGATAATGAAATATTTATGATGAAATAGAGAACGAAATCTAAAAATTGAAACCGTTTGTTTAATTTATCGTAATTATCATGTAAAATATTTCGCAAAATAATTCTTGAAATTTATCTGTTTTTTTTTTAATTTAAATTTCAATATAGTTTTTCCATTTAATTTATATATAAATATCACGTTTACATACCCATGTAATATCTGGACCATTTGGATGCAAGGATGGATGTGGATTAGGATCCGTTAATCCAAGAAATTGTAAAGCTCGTATTGTGTTGCAAAAACCTTTAAACCTCAATGTACCTCGCAGCATTGTATTAATATTACTGAGTCCGTATATATCTTTATAAATTGTACTGTCTCGATTAGGGAAACCTTCCAACGCAAAACCGGGTAAAAAGTCTAAATCTTGAACGGCAGACATAAGATCTCCTCCTGGCTGTATTTCTACAATCTTTAAAATGAAAATGAAATTGATTAACATGTAACATAGTACGTTATTATCGTTCGTTTTTATTGTCATTCAATCAGGACATATATAAAATAATAATTACATATTAAAATAATAATAGTTTATATATAAAATATTATGTCCAATTGACTACGACATCGCGTTACGGCTGTTTTGATTTGTTAAAATATACTTTATTTTTTATTGTGTAAAGAGCCGCGGATTTCAGAAAAAGATGATAAAATGAAAAGAGATAATCTTCTGTACTAAGAAAATTTAGGAACAGTTGTTTATAAAATTTTATATGATCAAAATGTTTCTTATGATTTTATTCCATGATTTATATAATTTATATAGGTTCCTCTGTATCTAAGATAAACTCAGTTCATATTTGGATAATTGAGATTCTATTATACATGTGTGCATTTGTAGACTACAATGGACTGTCAGTAAATTACAGTCAATTTTCAAATGTTCTGTATGTTATATTAAATCTTTTTGTTATATCACAAATAGATACAAAGTTAAGTAAAGTTAGGTATATACGTGTACAAATGTACAAATGTATGAAAGAAATTTAAACTTACTTGTCTGTTAGAATAAAATTTAGCCGATGCTAAGGTATTTAATAATACTCCTCGTGGCGACCAACTAAATTTATATCGTAAAGGATTAGAGGAACATTCTGGAGCAGGTAAGCCGCCACACCAAGATATAAAAGATTCAATTTTTCCGCCAGCTTGCTTAACATTGTCAAAACATTCTAAAGCCAGCAAGTGATCAATACCAGGATCTAATCCTACTTCATTAAGTATAGTTACGTCCGCTGCAAGAGCCCTAAGAATAGTTAACATATTAATATAATTTATTTTAATACCCATAATGTATAAATATTCATATTTATGTTATTGTTTTCATAACTATCGTTATTAGTAATATATTGAGATATTTGAAATACATTGCAATAATTTTTCGTTAATATGTATTAATTTATCAAAATTGTCACTTACTTTTCATGTAAAGCTTTAACATCTTCATTTGTATAACTTGCTGTTACTAAGTGAGTTTTATTGTGTATGCATACATTTGCAATGACATGATGTAATGAATATGGTAACAATGAAACTACTACATCCGCCGATTTGACAATGTCATTTAAAGTATCAGGACGTTCAATTACATCTAATAGAACCGGTTCCACACCGGGAAAATTGTTTGCTAATATATCTGCCTCTTCTTTCAATTGAGATGCAACAGTTAAGTGTATATTACTATTTCTGTGTAAATATTCAACCAATGGGGCAGAAACATGTCCAGCACCGAGGACAACCACCTATTTATAAAACAATGCATATTAATATATTACTTAATAACTAATTATATTATAAATAATTAATTATATCACTTAATAATTAGTTATTATCAGTCAGTATTTGATTAAAATTACATATTAAAAAACATTATTTTATGAAAATTCTGAATTTCATAGAATAAAATTATATGACATAAAATAATTACTATAAAAATAAATAAAGTAATTTATGTTAATCTAAACTATTTTATGTATCAAAATATAATTTTTCTGCACCTTTTTACTTCGTATTTCACCATTATCTGCTGTATGTTTACAACGGTGATTTAGTAATCTTAACTCTTGAATGTATTCAAAATTGGGTGTTAATTTTCCGTTGGATGCTATTATTGCATCATACACTGCTGGACTGAAATTATGTTCTTCAAGAGGTACTTTTGCATCCGATTGAATAATATCCAACGCATAAGGATATAAAAGATTTCCAAAGAAATCTGTAGATTCTTTTGGCAGCTGAGTTGGCATATTATCAATTGAACAGACTAATACCCCGGGTCCTTTAAAAGATTTTGTATCCTTGTTACGATCAGCATCGTATAAACAAAATGGTGTGTCAATTGTTGTACATTCATTCATGAATCTATGAAGATTTATAAAGAAAAATATAAAAGAATAAATATTTGCATTTATTAAAATATATAATATTATAATTGACTCTTTAGGGACTATATTTGTACACTATTATTGATTCGTATGCAATCAAAAGTTATTTCAATAATACTAAATTTTATAAATTAACATGTGACTTGCCACTATTTAAAGCTATAAAAATCATCATTAAACTTAATTATTATTACTAATAGAATTTACACCAATAAAAATGATCAAAAAGTCTAATTCATCAACATTAGGCATTGTCCCTGAAGAATTAATACATAAATAATCAGAAATCATAACAATTATAATCCAAATTTAAAAAGTTACAATATACAAATTAAAATATCTTATTAAATAATGTTGATCGAATAATAATTGCAAATGATCAAAATATTTTTAATTATCAATAACTTTTATTAATAACGAAATTTTTTTAAATTACTTCCTATCATCATTATTTATTAACGTTATTGATAATTATTCTTTAAATTATATAATATATAATTTTTTTAATATCCTTGATAAAATGAATTTTTTGCGTTGAACTATTCTTTAATTAATTATCTGAAAACTATTTTTATTAGAAATCGCAATTACCAATGGTTATCAGCAACCAAAAAATTTCAATTATTTATAATGATTACTCCCAAACAAAATGTTTACAATTAGCCAATGTTAAATTGGCTTTTGTGTTGCTGATGAGAAATTATTATAATAATCCCAAAGTAATACATTAGCAGGTACATATAAGATATTTATTGTAATATAAAATACGATTCAAACAACTTTAATTTAATCTTACATGTACAGTTAATAGATATTGATAAAGAGAATAATTAATATTATAATAATTAAGTGGCTAAAAACTTTGCAAAGCGTCTGTTCATTGTTGAGATTTTAGAACGATTGAAATATGTTTCTAACTAATTAATAAACAGTCAGTTATAAGCATAAATGCAGAAACTTAAAAATGCAGAAAATTAAGAGAAGAGAAACGTTTGTCAATCGTAATTGTCAAACTTTTAATGGAATTGCAATAAGTGCTCAATTGTTTATGTACAGTAATACGTATCTATTATATTACGTTAAAATTAGATAAATAAATAACGTAATATTAAATGATCTTAAACTTACTCAATACTGCCCCCAGGATCTGCAGATATATCACAGATAGCTAATATTCGGTGAGGTAAAGCAGGCGCACCAATACTTGATGGTAACCAAGGAGTATATGCTGGTCTTAACAAATATTTCGCATCTGGTATAGTTATTAATTTAGGCGAATCAACAGCCCAATATATTCCATTTATTATCACCGATGCGTATGGTGCAATCTTTTTGCTGAAAGTGGAAATATATCTCTCAGGATGCTTGTCACATTCATCAGGATCAAAACCACCTCCATCTTTTCTTTCAAGATGATGTCTTCGTCTTACCTCGCATCCATATATCTTCGTTGTATCTAAAACAATGTTGTCTGTTATTTCAAATGCAATTATATTTAGAAATCACATATAAATCATTGAAAATGTATCTATATGTTCACAAAATATACCTATATATATATAGTATTTTAATTATAAATATGTATATATATGCTAAGAGAAATAAATATTTCTCTCAATATATACAGGATGTTTCACGAAAACTAGACCATCCAAATATCTTCTCCATTAGTAATAGTACGAAAATTGTTCCTGACATAACTTAAACTGTTTGAAGAGACGAATCGGATGGAAGAATTATTTTTTTAAAAAATATTACATATCATTATTTTTTTCTATTCCATCACATAGCTCATGAAAAAATACATTCAAATTTGTATTACTTCTGTGTATTTGTCCTCACTGACAAATTTATACAAATGAAATTCTGCTGTAAGGAATAATCAAACTTCAAATCCAAATGTTTCTAGACTATTAGAATATTCAGTTAAATAATAAAATCTATTTTCTTTCCTAATCGATAATTATAAAATAGAAAATATTGTTTTGTTTGATACAATATGAATTGCTAATTTTGTTATAAATTACCACATCGGAAGGAAACAAATTTTGTATAAAATGTAATAAATAAAATGTATATGTACATATATATACGATTCTTACCGCCATGTTCGGCAACTTTTCTCAGCATTTCCGGTGGTACATATTCGTGAGGAAGTTCTTGAAAAACTTCTTGACCGCCCTGACTCACATTACCACTACCAGTGAAAATAAAAGTTAGTGGTCCAATTGACTTTGGCATAGCACCTAATGCTATCTCGTATCCTGCATCTCGTATAGCTTGTCGTGCCATAGCGGAATCTCTATAATTATGCGCGGGGCCAATATGCTAGTAAACAATAACGATCGTTATTTTGTATACATAATTACTAAATAAATATATCTATAGATATAATAATAGATAAATACAGTGAAGAGTATAATTGAGCCAGTAGAGCCTCCGTTTATATCAATTCAATTTATTTAATCAATAACTGATTAAATGAACACTTGTTAGTTGAACCCACCTATTTCAATCTCTTATCATATAGACGAAAAATCATTAGTGAATTTCTGTTATATGAATTCCAATTATTTATTCTTCGACAAATTATAGTGGAGAAAACGAACTCATTATTATAAAAATAGCGTAAAATAAGCTCAAGTAGATTATTGTATGATTTTTCTCACGAAGTTATGACAATTTTTCATCGAATACGAAAATACCTTTATGAACATTGAAAAATTTTTTTTTATAATTAAATCCGTCATGATTTTGAAAATTGAGATCTCCCCTTTACAACAATTTCTTAAAATTTGTTGTACGATTTTTTTTTTTTTTTTGCAAAGTTATAAGAATTTAAAATACCAAAAATTTTTCACCGAGTATACAAATATTTTCTATATATATTACATTGTATATTATCAAATTATACTTTCATTGACATATATTGCTGACGATGCAACGCAATGATTTAACAAAAAAATTCTAGCGTTTTATATTCTTTTATCAATTAAATACGTACTATTAGATATTTTATATAACTTAATAATAATTATGTTGTATAAAAGCAGATAATAAATCCAAGAAATTTTCCATAAAACCAATAGGACAGCTAATATTATGACAATAAATATTTCCAAAATAATTAACAATAGATAAATAATGACATAGATTTAATTTTTAAATAAAATAAAAAAACGATTTAAATAATGTGAAATTAAGTGCATCAAATCTTAAATTTATTTTCCTACAAAATACAGAAAGCGTAATTTATTATGTTAATAAAGTTTATGAAGTTCAACGTTTCACTGCTATCAGTCAATGGGTATTAATAAAGATCAAGGCCAGGCGTTAAAACATTTTTGAATCCAGTGATTGTTGCACTTTGATAGCATTGACCTTTCCAAATGATTATACATGTAGTATATAATAAGAAGAATGAGATGTTTCTCAAAGACAATAAACAATAAAAAAAAGTTTTAATAGATTGATATTACTAATAATCACAGTTTACACATAATCACATATACTTAAAATATTCATTTACCAATATAAAAAATGATAAGAAAAACTGAGTTGTATACAAGAGATAGCTATTAGATTTGTTTTTATGATTCCATCATTCTTTGTGCTACTAGCAATAATGTTTAATTTTTTAGTATATCTATTTATTATGTTAAAAAAATGAAAATAGTACTATTACAGAAAACGTGACGTTTTTTTATTATATTTACAAATAAAATTATATTATTAAATTATATTATAGCATTTTTTTTTTCTGTTTTTGACTAGCTGAATTAGTAAAATGATTATCAACTTTTTAAAATATAACGCAGAAACTAATTATAAATAAATAGATAATTAAATAATATTTTAATTAAACTCCGCCTTATTTTGGAAGAATAATTAATAGAATTTCATTTAACAAGACATTCTGATGTTGAATTCTTAAACGGTTTGTTGATAAATGGCATTATATTATTATATTATATTATTATTATCGAGTATTAAAGATGAATTTCATATAATAATTTTTGAAATAGTAATGTTTGAAAAATCAAGTTTACGAAGAAAACATGGTTACAGAAAATTTGCAGAGATCAAAAAAAAAAAAACATCAGAGAGGTGATCATGATATAATTGGATATTTATGTAATCATAACAGGAAAGAATAAATACACGCGATAGTGATGAATTAATTATTATTTTACTAGAGCATCGGGTTCCAAAATTTCGTGATTATTGTTGTATTGTAAACTATGTAAATAAAATGCAATTAAATATGCACTACGAGTTTGGACATTACCGAAGTCTGTACGATAATACATAATTTATTAAATCATTCACAATTAGACTATGGATTTTTATATATTCATAAAAAATTTAATTATTTCTATAATACTCTGTAAAAAATAAACTACTGGGCCTATTTTTTTTATCATATTTTCAAAAATTTACAAAAGTATAATCATAATGAAATTTCAGAATATAAAGGACAATACATATCAATAAATATGTATTATTAATATTAAATATTAAATTCTTTACTCAATTACTGAACGTGGATTATTTCATGAAAATGCGTGTTTTCTGAGATATTTCGATTTGAAATTTTTAAATAAACAATCTGTACAGTAGCCTTATAGTTGTTAGTGTATTATACAAAAAATTTAATATGTATATACAGGCCATATCATAATATTTCAGCCCTGTTTAACAGTGGACAGAGAACACTAAAACAATATAAAAACGTCGTATGATTATATATCCTGTTTGATCTTGTTTCAAGATTATAGTCATTTTTATGTTTCTGGAACCACTTGAAAATAATTGTTTATTCAATATCTATTACAAATTTTAAAGTACCTCATGCAAGTAGGTACATATACAATAAAGTTGCCAACAGATTCAACATATATCTGGAATTTTTGAAATATTACACAATTCCTTGATACAAAATTGGCATACAACTAAGGATAAACATTTTGAGCTTTTTTTATGAAGATAAGGATTATTGATATTGAAACATATCAACGACTATAAATTTGAAACAAAATCAAATAAGACAATATATATTCATATGAACTTGTTTCATTGCTTTAGTGTCGCTTGTCAGCATCATTTTCTTTGCAACTTAGAACAATATACATGAAAAATTGTGCTTTGTTTAAACTTCGTTTTGATCTTTGAACTTTGTTTAAACTTCGCACCGATCTGAATATAAAATTAAAGTATTTAATCTCTTACATCTACTAACTAATTGCGCATCTTTGCGAACGATTTAAATCATTTTATTAAAATATGATAAAATAATTGCAAATTTAATTACATAAAATATTTTTCAATATAGTTATCGTTATTATTATTATCAAACTTTTGCTATTATTAAAAATCTTACCATGAATGGTGTATGATGTCCCAGTGCAAGTAATCTTAATCCAAGTCCATGTAATATGTTCACCATACCAGCTACGCCAGCATATTTCCCAAACGCAACCACTCTTTGTCCATTATCATCTGTTAGTTTTTCATAATCTAATAAACGTATATTCTTTTCCAGAATGGCATCTAGGAGAGGCATATTACTTTCTTGTGCCTTGATAGTATGAGAGAAAAGACAGTAAGTTTTATTGGATATAAGTTGATCCACAGGAACTTGTTTTACACCAAAAATAATGGAAGCAGAACTAATATCTTCTTGCAATGTAGCACCTGCAGCTTGATAGGCATGTGCAGGATACGCTCTTCTATTACTAGGTTGCACAATTACTTTTACTCCTGCCCTAATTAATCGACGAACATTCGCAGGTGCTAAAGGAGCTCTTCTTTCCCATACTGATTGATCTTCTCTTCTAATTGCTATTATTTTGCCTTTTAAGTTCTACAAAAAAATGTAACACTTTTTATTACAATATTTTATACTTATATTTAGTAACATTAATTGTGATGTGTATACAAAAAATACACGTTTATCCGTATTCTTACTTACTTTTATAGAACGAGTCGAGGACATGATGATACGTAATAAATTCACATTTATGTAATTGAACAATCCTCGATATTTTATTATATAATCACACAAAAAATGTAAAGCTTTCTATAAACAGCATTGTGCGTTCATCAACTTCATTCAGTCTACAATAATAAAGTGACAAGAGAGAAGTGTATACTACAATGCACGATGCCTCTTATTCTAAAATAAAATTGTATTACACTCTTGATATTGCACGAGTCAGTGAGGTCAATGTAAAATTCAGAGAATGTTACTACATCACTGATAAACTCGAAGACGTGCTTATCAAAATGACTTTCTTCTATCATATGATTTCTATTACAATTAATTAAGATGCAGAAAAAAACAGAACACAGTAATAAATTGAAATTTTTAATTATTACAATTATTTTTATTAGACAGATCCATCAGAAAATCAGTATATCATTATTAAAGATAGATTTTGCGATTTAAGAAAATTGGAATTCTCGAAAATATCAAGATTTTTAAGAATTTTTTATTCCCTATTATTAGGAAACATATTAAATGTAATTATCGTCTCGAATTTTTGAGTTTTGATTTTTTTTTTTTAAATTAGATGCATATTTAGTACATTGATTCTATTCTTTATAAGTTTATAACATGAAAAATTCATAGACATAAAAAGTAGATAAAACGCTTTAAAAAGATTTAAATTCCCGAAATTTTTAGTAAATCTTAATATTCTTGAAAATTATATTAATTGTACTAATCTATTCCTAATGATACAACTAATTGTAAAATTTAATTCCTGAATTTTATACATTGATTTATTTTATTATTATACAAATTATTATTTTATACATAAATATTAATTGGATTAAAATGTATAAAAATATCAATTAGATTGTGTCTTAATAGATAAATACATTTTATTCTTTATTGTCTGCTTAGTTGGATTGATCTTTTTAAGTATTTGAGTCATAACGTTAACTAACTGTTCTGAAGTAAGACCAGTCTTTTTCGATTTAAATTTCTGTAAAAGTTCCGTTGTTGTCATTGGTTTACGCATAAGATAACGTCTTACTGCATCCTCTGTAATTCCGGATTCACTGCAACATAACAAGAATAATTATTATAATTAGTTCTCAATTTACGTAAATATATTTGTTAGTTAAACATAATAGCAATAATTCTTTTATACGTATGCAATGTCCAGTGTGATATCCAATAAACTTCGTTCGCGTTTTCAACAAATTATTCCGAACAAAATAGTATATTTTTGGTAAATATATACAATATACATGATGTAAAACATGTTGAGACAACATCAAAAAACTTTTTATCGTTTTTTATTACTGCCTATTTTAACATTTTCAATAAACAACTATTTATAGAAATATTTTGTCTATATTAAAGCAATATTATCTGAGGAGAATTTTTGATTTTAAACAATATTTGTCATTTACATGTATGTCAGTTGGTTCCGAACTGTTAACAATTTATATAATATTTATTTATATAATATAATAAAAATGATATTTTATATTAATTAACTTTAAGTAAATAAGAAATTAAATCCATATATAAAAAAATAAAAAAATAAAATTCGTAGTTCGTAAAATTTACAAAACTATACAAAGAACAATTTTAAATATTAATAATAAAAAGTAACATACCTGATTCCTGGGATGTAGGAAGTTACTGGTACTAAATTAAAATTATCCAATTTCAATTTCTTCGCTTGTGATAAATCTGGAGATCCAGACTGTTTTCTTTTTATAGAGTCTGATATTCCAGCTGGTGTAGGTGTTGCAGATCTTGAACTATGTGCACTATTAGACTTTTTATTATCTTTTTCTTTCACTGTATCAGATTCTGAATCTGAGTCACTAGAAAAGTCACTAGAAGAATCTTTTCCCGATGTAAGTTTCTTTGAATCTTTTTTTTTTAATTGTTTTTTCTTTTTCTTTTTATCTTTCTTTTTATCCGCATCTTTATTGATTTTATCTTTATCCTAAAAAGTAAATAAATAAAATAAATATTTCAATTAATATAAATATTTTTATCATTCATAATATTTTGTGAATTTACTTTATCATCTTTATCTTTAGTTTCATCATCTTCATCTTTTTCTTCATCCCCATCCTTTTTATCTGTCTGTTCTTCATCATCATCATCTTCATCAGAAGCAAGTAATTTTCTCAATGCGTCTTCTTCTGCAACTGATTTGCTATCCTTTTGCTGTTCCAATTCTGATTCAGAATCTGACGAGTCAGAAATGTAATCACATTCTCTACCTTCTTCATCACCATCATCACTTTCTTCAAATGCTTCATCATCAGATGCATTTTTCTTTTTCTTTTTCGTGGCATCAACTAACACAAATATTTTAATTTTAGCGTATAATAAATATACAAAAAAAAAAAATTATTTATTAGATAGAACTAATTTAAAATACAATTATACAATTATACCAAGTGACTCATGTAAAATAGAACATCTAAATATTTCGGCTGTTAATAATTTGGATTATCCTTTTCAAAGAAGATTGTATAGTGGGGAATGCTTTGAGATCAGAAAGTATAGGAGAAAGTTTCTACAATTTGGATCAATGAATGTGGAGAAGCAAAAAGAATTAAAGAAAATGCTACCAAAGAGACAGATGCTATAGGAAAATCTCATTCGCAGCTTCTTGCGAATCCAATAGAAGCAGAAGAAATTGACAGATTATTATATTAATCTACAAAAAATTACAGAACCAGAAATTGCAAATCATGCAAAATCTATAATAGATTATTACAATTCAAAATAATTTTTATTTACTCTTTTTATTATTATTTTTTTCTGTAATATTTCTATCATTATTCTTATTATTTAACTTAATTATAATATAATTATTAATGTGTATATTAAAGAATTTAACTGTATACTTGTAATGCTTATGAAAATAAAGTAATCACTTAAGCAAGCATTACTTAGTTATATAAAATAAAATTTGTCCAACTTTGATCGATGTGTTCAAAACAATAATGTGACATCGATATCATTTATTACTTGTTTTATATTGCGCGAGTGTTATGTTTCTCGCGGCCGCATGGTAAGGTAGAGTAATAGCGACGGACGTTTACGTGGGCAAAAGGGCGGATGCTTAAGTGAACATTACTATATATTAAGTATAATTACTAAATATGCATTTCTTAAGATTATTAGAAGTAACATTTACCTTTGTTTTTCCTTTTCTTTTTATTATCATCTTCTTCATCAGAATTCTTTTTACTTCCTTCATCATCACTAGCCGAATCATCATCATCACTATCCATCCACTCATCCATTTCAGATATTTTTAAATCTTTCTCCTTCTTATTCGGTTTTTTACCCTTTCCACCTTCTATTATTTCTTCGTCATCTGCACCATCCTCATCATTTCTAAGTCTTTTACGCAACATTAATGAAAAAAAATTCATTACTTTATTTCTACGACTGAATTCCTGTTCTGCTTCTTCTGCGCTTAATGCTTTATATCTCTGAATTGGTTGAAAATTATACCTGAGTATAAAAATTATACACATTAAAACTTTTAATAAAATGCAATTTATTTCTCAAATTTAACTAATTACCATTCATGTAATGGAAAAGCTTCTATGGCTCCATCTGCAGCATGTGTGAAAACATAATATGCCGCATTTTCACTCACACCACCTTCTCTTATGCCTTTAAACTTTTTACCAGTTTTCCCTCCAGATTTCAAAATCCAAGGTTGATCTTCTGGTTTATATTTTCTACTTGTAATGCCAAATTTTTTTCTCCTTGCCTCTTCTCTCGCATCTCGACCAAATTCGGAACCAGCTCCAAATTTTGGCATTTCTTCTTCTATACCTTTATATTCCTTCATATTATTTTCACGTTCCATTTTTACCTGAGTCCATTTTGAAAAATCAACATTTAATGTTGCATTAAAACGCATCACATTGTGCTTTTTCTTGTTATTTCTAAAACAAAACAATATTTCATTTAATAATGTCAATTCTATAACTTGTAATTGTAAAATTATTCCGTTACGTACTTTGGTACCCTGATGCTAAACTCCTGTATGGAAGGTGCAACTGAAACCTAAAAATTATGATTGTATTAATATATTAGTTTTTCTTAATGTAATTTCAATATTGTTTCTTAACTTCTACTATATAATATTATAATATATAATAAATATATAGAATGTATACAATATATTTATATTTGATATAATAAAAAAAAAGTTATTCTTTACATAAAGATTAGGGTATTCTTCCGAATAGCATCAATGGTCAATAGGGACAACATTTTAGGGAATATCATTGGTTGAGATAGTAGATTTAAAATATAAAATCTCAGTTTCGGATAATCATATATTTGGAAGATACAGAGACGTTTTTCTAAATAGCATCAGAGGACGAAAAGAGATGAAAAGAGATGATGGATTAAAAATATGGTATAAAATCTCTATTTGATGACAATGTCACTGACTGGCTGAAAAACAGTAAGGAGTTAGTCTAACTTAAACCAATATCGATTAAAATGATGTTATTGAAAATATTGTATTTGAAACTATTAAAATACAGTGTCTAATAGTGATAAAGATGCCAAGTAACATAATAATAGTGAAGATATCAGGGAAGTGGCCAAAATTTATTACCGTATTCTACTGTTTCTAAAAAAAGAAGAAAGGTCATATAAATATAAGAAAACTCTTTCTTTTTAAAATAGAGATATCGGTTATGATGGAATATTGAAAAAAATGTTTAAAATTTAACGAAAACAGTTAAAAATAGTTTCCTCCTTCAGTAATCGATGTTCAAAGACTATCAAAGACGTTTAAAAATTTCTGGAAGATGTGTAGACCGGAAGTTCAAAGTATCTTTGAGTATCTTTTTAAGTTCATCAATCATTTTCAATTTATTAATAGTATTATAAAATATATTAAAAAATGAAAAATTCAAAAGAAGGGAAGCGGTCATCAATACCATTCGGAAGTATAGCCAAAAATTATTATTTAAAAATATCTGTACATAATATAAAATAAAATCTATAATGAAAAGGAATCGAACAGTCGAAGAAAAACCGATCGTCCAAGTGCTTGTTTATTTAATATCAATCGTTAAACATATGAAAGGTTATATGAAAAGATAATTCAAATCAAAAACGTAATTTCCGAATTGTCAATATAAAAATATTCGTTTATATACAAATTTTCCTGTTAAAGAGCAGTTATGTCATTCTTTCTGTTTCATGTAACGCTGTACATATTATGTATAAATTGCATAATTTTTTACTACCGTTGTAACTGTGTTATATTATTTTAAATTGTTTTGTTTTTTGATCACAAATTGGTTAATGAAATAACATTTAATTATATTCAAAAACAATTTTTCGTTTTCGTGATAAATCTGTGGTACAACAGTTGGTCACAATATTCAAACACTAATATAATTTCGACTTCTAAGCTTTGTATTTTAAATAAGTATTCAATCAGAAAGTAGCACGTCATATTACATGCAGCTTATATATTTCAAAAATAAGAAAAACGTATGATTATATAGTATTACAAGGAATACTGAAGAAATAAGAAATTCGCTATACATATTGAGAAATTTTTTCTATCAATTCTAATCTTAAATAGTTGGAAAAGTATATGTATATATATATATATATATATGGAAAAGTATATATATAATTTAAGTATATATATAATATAAAAGTATATACATATGGAAAAGTATATATATAATATAAAAGTATATATATATGGAAAAGTATATATATAATATAAAAGTATATATATGGAAAAGTATATATATAATTTAAGTATATATACACTTTAGTATATAATATAAAAGTATATATATATGGAAAAGTATATATATAATTTAAGTATATATATACGTTAGTATATATATATAATATAAAAGTATATATATATGTATGTATATATAAAGATAAGTATATATATAAAAATGAATTCCTGTTCAAGAACATTAAGAACAGAAGATCGCGAATATGTGGTTGAAAATATAATAAATAGTAGATATGTATCGTATCATTGCGAAAAGAAAAGCTCAATGCATGATATAGCAAACCTTTTAACGCTAACGAAGAATATATAATACATATGAGATATTTTTTGAAGATATTGATAGAAGAATAGAATTAATTCCAAGCCAAAAATTCTTGCTGATTGTGACGTTTGATTGTAAGGGAAGGTAGTTGCCACACACAAGCTCAATGAAGAATTCGGAGTTACAATATACGCAGAGAATGTTGTACCAAACTGTAAATAAACGATTCATTTTTACAAAATAATAATACTGCAATAAACGAAAGATAGAAGTCTTGAAAAATGAGAAGATAAAAATCTAATAATATAATACATAACAATTAATAGAACATACCTTTATTCGAATCATAAAAGTATTCGAACAATCAACATGAATATTAATTAGCTACCACAATCGATACTTCATGTTATATACATACGTTTCTAATGTATGTTTTTCTATAGAATTTCATACTTGTGCAAATAAGCCAGTATTGCAATTTTTAAAAAATTGTTCAGTGAATATTTATAATATAATGTAAAATATTATATATATATATATATATATATATATATATATA